GAGGGTACAGTGAGCTGAGATTGTGCCACTGCATTCCAGTCTGGTGACAGAGCAAGACTCCATCTCAAAAAAAAGAAAAAAAATGCAGTTTTTCCTGTAGTGAACAACTTTCATCAAATGTACTTGCTAATCTATATGCTAGAAAAAGAAAGGGAAAATAAGAATATTTTAATCCAAAGGAAGGGTGAAGCAAACGTCTTCAAGGTTTAAGTTTAAACTGTGACCTTTACCATTGAGAATGCAAGACAAGACTCTAGGAAAGTTTGGAATTTCGCTGATTGAAGTTTAATCCCTTTGCTATGATCATTTATGGATATGGTCTTGATATTATTTAGTTTGACAAATATTAACTTTCTCTTGGTCAAAAAACCAACTAGTTTCTTATCATCTGAATTAGAGGCTATGATTTTATCTGCAAGGTGAATCAAGATTCTGACTTCTAACTGGGCATTATTCTTAAAGATTCCATCCTGGGAAACAGTCCGAGGAGAATGAGTTGACCCTAAATGGGAGAGCAGAGCACCTTCCCATTAGGTGGTGGGCAGCCTAACTGGCTTATTTCTCCTCTTCTCCTATTCCAATTCATTTTTCTTTTGCAGGTTCTGTGGATGGAGTTATAAAGGAAGTGAATGTGAGCCCGTGCCCCACCCAGCCCTGCCAACTGAGCAAAGGACAGTCTTACAGCGTCAATGTCACCTTTACCAGCAGTGCGTAAAAGTGGCTCTTACCTCAAATTTATGTTAAAGCATAACATAAATATCAGGTGTTGGAATGAGCATGGGAATGGAGGGGAGGGAATTGGCAGTCATGAATTTTATGACTCCTTTTGCACCTTGTGCAAAGCTAGGGTTCACTGTGCCCTTGGACACCCTTCTCATGCAAGGTCCATGGCTCCTAGACTCCCTTTAAGCAAACAGGGAGATGTCCATGTGTTCACAGGTTAGAGAAGACAGCTTGACTTTTCTTGTCCTGTCTTGGCCCATATTGCGTCGCAGGCTTTGATGGGAATGTCAGCTGTGTTTAGCTACAGACTGCAGAGTATTAGTATGGACCCCAATTCTTCAAGCTTTGGAACTCCTCCGAAGTGTTATTTTAAGCAGTAATGCCTTTCAGCTATTAAGTCTACATCCCACCTGAAAATAAAGGTGCAACTAATACTTAACAGCCTCCTTAAGATTTAGGGAACCCACTGGGAACCCAAGAAACAGCCAAGAAATCTGAGCTTTCTTCTCCAATAATATTCAAGAAATGTCATTGGAACTTGTTGCTTTCTTGTACCACATCACATTGAGATTTTTAAGAATCTAGACAAATTAAAATCTTTTATTGCTAAGCAGGGCATGTTCCTTGAATTCCTTCCTCATTTTCTATCCTGGGAAGCTAGACTAGACAGTCTAATAAGTAACCTCAAAGTTCCTGTCATCTTTTGTTCATAAGCCTAAAGACAGCTCTAAGTACTAGCTCCCTGTCTCCTCTCTGGACTATACCCTGGCCTCTCTATTGCTCCAAACCTAAAAAAAAAAAGCCTTCTGAACAAGTCATCCCCAACCCAGACAGAAAGAAACAGAACCAATTTTCTGGGTCTCCAAAATACCGTAATAACTCATAAGTCTGATTGCCCTAATTTTGTAATAACTTTATTCCTCCTGGCTAGCTTGTGATGTGGAGGGTAAAGTTTATCAAGAAATGCATGTCTTTCTAATCTTACCCAATTTCTTTCCCTTTTTTTTTTTTTTAGACAGAGTCTTGCTCTGTCACCCAGGCTGGAGTGCAGTGGTGCGATCTTGGCACACTGCAACCTCCGCCTCCTGGGCTCAAGCGATTCTCCTGCCTCAGCCTCCTGAGTAGCTGGGATGACAGGTGTACGCCACCACGCCCGGCTAATTTTTGTATTTTTAGTAGAGACAGGGTTTCTCCATGTTGGCCAGGCTGGTCTCAAACTCCTGACCTCAGATGATCCACCTGCCTCAGCCTCCCAAAGTGCTGGGATTACAGGTGTGAGTTACCGTGATCCAGCCTAATCTTACCCCACTAAAGGGTTACCTCTTTCACTGTTGTTACAGACCATGACATTTAAGACACACAATATACTTGGACAGAAGCTGATATAAATAGCAAACAGAAAGTTTACTGCCAAAAATCAGTTGCCTCGTTAGATAAGGTTATTTATCTAGGTATCTCTGATTCTCCTAAGAAACTATGAAGGGCCATGAAGAGCGAGGTTAAGAGCAAAGAAAACTTCTGCTGATTGCTTTTGTTTTGCATAATTATGTTTGGAGTGAATGCTTGCACTGTGCTAGTACCAAGCACCACTGCCAAGAGAAATAGACCCTAGGAATGCTGTTACTTGGGATTATTTCTGAATTTTTGATTTAGAGTTTGAAAATAGGTTGTTTTCTTCGCCATCTGATTCTCTTTTTTCCTCTTAGATATTCAGTCTAAAAGCAGCAAGGCCGTGGTGCATGGCATCCTGATGGGCGTCCCAGTTCCCTTTCCCATTCCTGAGCCTGATGGTTGTAAAAGTGGAATTAACTGTCCCATCCAAAAAGACAAGACCTATAGCTACCTGAATAAACTACCAGTGAAAAGCGAATATCCCTCTGTAAGTTATACCATTATTGAGGACATGGGAGGCCTTGAGACTGGATTAGAGTTCTGAGGGCAGCGGGCAAGAAGCAGAGATGCGGGTAAAGGGCCCTTTATCTCTATGATGAAGAAGCGGAAGCCCGAGGGAAAGGAGATAGGTGGGAGTGTTAGGTGTCAGGAGGTAGGGCAAATCTTTTTCTCTGTGCCTCTTCATTCTTTCACTATGACCTGATGGTTAGTCTGGACCTAATGATGCCATTTGTTTTTTAATGTACTAAAATTTAATCATACATAAAAGCTGTAATTTAATCTGACAGTAAAACACAAGAAGCAATATTAAAGTTGGTTTAGTACATTGTATATTTTAGCTTTGAAAGCCATAGAAATCAGTTATCCCAGTGTTTTTCCTATAAAAGACCCATTTTTTTCCAAAGCACTATGTACAATTTTAATTAGAATATAATGACAGAGGATATTCCATAATTTTTAAAATACAAAATGAAGTCAATGACTCAAAAAGTTATCTACTGCAATGAGGTAAAAGGGACATTTCATAATCAATATCATTACAAAGTATGATGTTCAACTTTTTAGTGCTTCATAGGGAGGAATCATGATAAAAAGGTCAATATGAAATCATTTGATTATAGTAGCAATATCTAACATTTGAAATGCATCCATGGTCTTTTGTATAATCATATTGGAGTCAAGTATATTTTCACATCTGTTATGTCTTATTTTCCAAGAGATATACACAGAGCAATTTTTTTCTCCAGGGAACTTGTGCAAACCAATATAAGATCTAAATTCTTCACATAATGTATAAAACAAGAGAAGCCTCTTCAGATTTATTTTTTGAAGTCTGGAATGCTGGCACTTTCCAATTAGGCAATAGTTCTTCATTCTTGTAACCTAGCTAAGAGCTGCTGCTGACTATGGGCCTAGAGCAGCAGGCATGATTTCTTTTTAGGCCTTTTCTTTTCCAATGGTGTTTTTCTATTTATCTGTCTGACCAGGTCATAAAGTATTTCATTAACATTGACCTTTGACTTTGCAGAATATTCTAAAATGGCACAGTTCCATCACTGTCATGCTCAATTCTGTCCCTGTTCTTTGCCAACTACTCACTCATCTTCCAGATCACATTTATTGCCAACCAAAATCATTGGAACATCTTCTGTGTCCTTAACCAGTAAAATCTGTTCCCTCAGGTCCTGTAAGTCAAACGTGGACTGAATATACTAGTGCAAAACCTTGGCCATTCTTCATATACAAATCCCTCATTGCTGTAAATTGCCCTATCCCTGCAGTATCTAGGATTTTAAGCATACACTGTTGGCAATCAACTTCAACTTGCTTTCTGTAGGAATCTTCTATCATTGGGTCATATTTTTCAACAAAAATTCCCTGAACAAACTGAACCATCAGAGCAGACTTCCCAACACCTCCTGAACCAAGGACCACTAACTTGTACTCACCCATGATGTGATCTGTTTAAATACTGACGACTCCCCTGGTCCAGCAGCTCGTCCTCCCTCCTCCCTCCTCCCTCCTCCCAGCTGTGGCTCCTGCTTCAGCTCCACATGGCAATGGCTGATGCCATTTTTATATACAATATTTCACTTGGTTCTCATGACCATCCTATGTAGAGGTGATCTTATCTCTATTTTACAGCTGAAGAAATTTGAGCCTCTGACGTTATGCAATATGAACAGAGTTCACTCCACTAAGAAGTAGTACAGCCCAGGTTTCTAGCTGGGTCTTATAACTCCAAAGCCTGTGCAATATTAAAAGATTTTAGCCAGGTACCAAATAGTTAAAGATCCAAGTTGTCTTAACATTGTCATGAGAAAATCCTGCTTTATCCATTAATCTCTTAACAAAACAAGAGAGTAGTAGTTTGTTAGCTTCATAGCAGAGAGGTAGCTTTTTCCACTCTCCTTTCTCCCCTCCAATCCCCCCCTTCACCTCCGACCCATCCCTGCTGCACCTACCTCTTTTTCTACCAAGCACTCGTAAGGTAGATCCTGCTGCAGTGGACCTGCATTAAAGATCTGTATCTTGATAAGAATGGAGGAAATGGAGGGATGGCCTTTTTCCATGAAGAAAAAGAGCCGCATTTCTTGAAAGGAAATCAAGTAGAACTCAGGAGCAATATCTGGCCATTTATTTTCTAGGAAAGGTAAGTAATTAAAGAACATTCTAAAGAGACTCAAATATAGGGTGTCTGTGCTTAAGGGCTATTGGAGACCCTAGAGGTCAAGGACAGATTAGTAGATGAATTTGCAGAGTATCCATATAACCATGGGCATGTTTGAACCTCAGTTACGTATGCAGTGACTAGTCAGAGCCTGATACATAGTAGGTACTTAATATATGGTAGTTATTGTCTGTTAAATGAGTTACATTTAATTTGAAAAATAGCTCAAACTGTTTAAGCACTAAATGAAGCAGTAGTTAATGTATACTAGTCTGGAAAAACTCACAAAGCAAGTTCCAAGAACCTAAATATCATTTCCACTCACATGTTCCATTGCAAAGAAACATTAGAGTACAAAAGAGAGGTAGTAACAAGTGACAAGTAAGCCAATGTCCATATAAGAAAGGACCTGCAAAGTGTGAGTGAGTTATTAAGAATTGGAAGGGACTGCGCACATGATATGAGTGTAACAAGTCAAGGCAGGGATTTCTGATGAAGTACATTATTAGAAAGCAGATTAAGGGCGTTAACTGAAAGTATATTGCTACAAAAGGTTGTCATCCTTGAAATTATTCATACAGCTACAGACTTCTCTGGGCCATCCTTTGCACTTTGACATTTCCATTTCTAGCTAACAAGAATGTTTCCTTATACTTAAGAATCTAAATTTTTTTTTACTCTCTGCTCTTCATGGTTACATTAAGAAAAAGCTGGATCAGATTGCCAAATACATGAGAAATTGCTTAAATGTGAAATTATTCATATAAGCCTTCATGTGTTAGTCCATTTGTATTGTTATAAAGGAATACCTAAGACTGGGTAACTTGAAAAGAGGTTTGATCAGCTCACGGTTCGGCAAGCTGTACATGAAGCATAGTGCCAGCACCTGCTTCTGATGAGGCTTCAGGAAGCTTACTGTTATGACAGAAGGCAAAGGGGAGCCAGCGTGTCACATGGCCAGCACAGGAGCAAGAAAGAGAAGGGGGAGGTCCCAGACTCTTTTAAACAGCCAGATCTCGTGTGAAATTAGTGAGAACTCACTCATCACCAAGGGGATGGTGCTAAGCCATTCATGAGGGATCTTCCTCCATGATCTAATACCTCCACTAGGCCCACCTCCAACATTGGAGGTCACATTTCAACATGAAATTTCAAAGGGACAAATAACCAAGCCATATCACTTCATTTATGTGCCATTGATCTAAGAGAGAAAAGAATGCTTTAGAAATTACATTTGATAAATTAACCAAGTTAGTATGTGGTGCTGCTAGCATCAAATCACAAGTATAACTTAGTTCACTCTCTTAAGGCCATAAACTGTGCCCACATGCTAAGCAGCCCTCGTGATTTAAGAAAAAAAGTAAAAAAGGATGAGTTCGAGTCCTTTGTAGGGACATGGATGCAGCTGGAAACCATCATTCTCAGCAAACTATCGCAAGAACAGGAAACCAAATACCGCATGTTCTCACTCATAGGTGGGAATTGAACAATGAGAACACTTGGACACAAGAAGGGGAGCATCACACACTGGCTCCTATTGTGGGGAGGGGGTGGGGGGAGGGACAGCATTAGAGATATACCTAATGTAAATGACGAGTTAATGGGTGCAGCACACCAACATGGCACATGTATACATATGTAACAAATCTGCACGTTGTGCACATGTACCCTAGAACTTAAAGTATAATAAAAGAAGAAAAAAAAGAAGTATGAGGAGTTAGGAAGTTTGCTACTGTACCTCCAGGATTCATAGTTAAGCCAATTATGGATAGAGGTCAGGTCCTATTTCATTTTTCTCAGTTATTTTTCTCTTTCTCCAGATAAAATTGGTGGTGGAGTGGCAACTTCAAGATGACAAAAACCAAAGTCTCTTCTGCTGGGAAATCCCAGTACAGATCGTAAGTCTATTTGGGGGTGAGAGGGCATGGGTGGAGGGAAGAAAGAAGTGGAGGAGAAATCAGACTGAAACTAAATCAGTGCCATAAGATAAAAGGAATTTCAAGACTGCTGTTTTATGCCTCTCAACCTCTAAAAGCATCTAAGGACCTATTTCCTGAGAACTCAGAACTGTTGCCTTTGTAATATCCTTTGTTAAAAAAAAAAGGTCGAAGGAAAGAAGAGAGAGTGAGACTGTAGGGACTGATTTAACTGTCTTCATTGGTTTTTTTTTCTGTTGGAATAAGGAAGGTCCAGCCAGACAGGACCTGAAGGAGGTTGCTTGGGAATGTCTGATAACTTGCCCTAGGGTTATTGCCCTCACAGTGGATGAAAGGTTCCAAACCACTTCCACTGAGCTGGGACATTACATCCACAGGTTTCTCATCTCTAAGTGCCTCATTGAGTTCGGTGCATCTGGCCAACGAGTCTGCTGACTCTTGACAGCGCCTCCAGCTCTGCTGCTTCAACAACAGTGACTTGCTCTCCAATGGTATCCAGTGATTCGTTGAAGAGGAGGTGCTCTGTGGCAGAAACTCAGCTCCGGGTGGCTGGTTCTCAGTGGTTGTCTCATGTCTCTTTTTCTGTCTTAGGTGGTTTTCATTAAATGCAGACTTGGTTAGCAGATGTTTAATTTTTTTTTAGCAATATTAACTTGTGGCCTCTTTCTACACCTGGAAATGTACCCTTGAATAAATAAAAACTCGTTTGTCTTGTCTTCTGCATGTGGGCTGTGGTCTCCTCCTGCTCCTTTCAGAGTATGTTCTGCTAAAACCAAGGCAGGCAGACCCCCAGTTCCATGGTCCCAGAGTGCGCTGAAGACACGACTTTTTCAGAAACTCTTTTTCCTCCTTTTTGTCCAGTAAGACCATATCTATTTTATATAAATTGCCTTTGTTTTGCTTTGTTTGACACAATCTTATACCACCAAGCATGCTTGAAAGAAGCAGTGAAAGTAGAAATCACCTAGTTGAATAATAATGCCTGAAAAGTTGAAGGAACTGAATTTGGTGGGGAGGGCAGGTAGGGGTTAGGGATTACAGGTTAGGATGAGGCATGGTGATCTTTTGGGAACCCTCTGCCGTGAAGAAAGCCTAGAAACTTAAAAATGAAATGTGAAGTTGTAGCAAGTAGTGGCGAAATTAGTTAAATCTTGGAGTTTCCTATTCTTAAAGAACAAGAATAATCATGGGCATATATTTTGCCACCTGCCACCTATTTTGAGTCAGTATACTAGCAGTCAGCTCTTAGGTGGCACAGGGATTACAACCCCATTCACAATTGAGTTGAGTAACATGGACCTCAGGTCATCCATTGTTAGGGCAAAAGGAGGGAACATTCATACCAAGTGCTTGTGGGCAAGTAATTGATTTGATCCAGTTCTTTTCATCCCACTAATTTCACTAGACCCTTGGATTTCTTTGGCCTGTGAGTTTCCCAGGAAAACCACCAGGGGACAGTGATGGATCAGGAATACAGTTATCAACAGCCAAGCTTTCCTAGTTAATGCCAGGAGCCTGTCAACCAGTGTACTTTTTACCTAAGATCTTTTGTGTATCCTGTCACATTGAGTCTAGAGCAACAGTCCACCCTGTCTCCCATACCAGACTCTAGATGTATCAGAAATACGTGAATTCCTGAGGCCATTAATTGTTGTGCGGGTCTCTGGCTTCAGACTGCCTATGGTTGAATCCTGGTACCACCAATTAACAGGACTACCAGTGTGATCTTGAAATCACTTCATCACTCTGTGTGTCAGTTAAATAGGACTAATAATAACAGGGCTGTGAAGACTAAATGAGATGAGGCATGTAAAACACTTAGAGTGACCCTGGCTATAGTATATACTCTCTAAATGTTAACTGTCACTCTAGGAAACAGACATTGTTCTTTGTCTAGAAATAGCAGGAGAATCAGGTTCAGTCTGAGATGTGATGATGTCTCCTCAGAAGGGCGAGGCAAAGCTCAATTCTCATGTGTCCACTGTCTCCCTATTCCCGGAAGATTTCTCATGCCATTTAGCTCCTTTGAAGCTAACAACTACCTGCCCTGCATACTCCTCTGCCCTTGTGTTAAAAGAAGACAGGACTCACAATAGCGTGCAAAATGAGTACTTGCCTCTAGCTAGGAACAGTGCCTACTTCAGGGAGAATTGATTTTGATACAGGTGACTAGTTGAGTGTTAAACTATTTTGGAAATAATTTACATATCTAAGTCCTAAAATATTTTTTTCTTTCCTCCACTTATTCTTCAAATTTGAAACAATGTTTTAATACTGTATATCTTTCATTGTTTATACCTTGCATTCTTTGTGAAAATTTGTTCTTAGGGACAAAAAAAAAAATCTTATTCTTTTTATGTGTAAAGCAGGAATAGAGAGATAAGACATAAACATACATATTATATCTGTGGTATTAAAATTTGATGAGGTGTTCAATTAGGATTAAAAGGTCCACTAAAGCTCCTGTAAGGAGTGATAATGAAAGGGTGGGGAAGCACTAAAGACAAAGAGTATAAGTAGATATTCGGAAATCAAAATTAAAAAGTATTTTGGCTAGTTTATACCCTTCCATCAGAGCAAAAGGGGAACACAACAGCTTGTGACTGTTTGCCAGCCATTGCAAGGCTACATGAAGCCTGCAGCCGTGAGCTAGGTAAGGCTCCCGTGGGGGGATTAGTTTGAAAGGTCGTCTTCTACAGACAGTTCACAGACGCCCCCCTGAGTCATTAAAACATTGAGAAGCACTGAATCTGCGGTATATCAAAAAGGTCATCCTCTTTCCAATGACAGTTTCATGCTTTTCTAGTCCACGGAGCAGGCCTTGGAGTCTCAGACCCAGCTCTTACATGAATTCCAGGACAGATAAATCCCAGATTCTAATTGTTAAAATAATAATGAGGGGCACCCCTGCTTATAGAATAAAGGGAACCCAACACCTCATATCTCCAGTTTGGGAGAAGGTTAAATGTGAAGACTGGTATTCAAATCTTCATACTAATAAAAAGCAACAAGCATGGAGTAATTTTAAATTCTGCATGTTTGGTTTTTAAATCTTAGTTGACTTTTTCTAAAAGGAACAGAGTGATTTTTTTTTTTTTTTTTAACACAAAATCTTTCAGAAAAGAAACAGAGTGATCTTGATTATGCTTTGGAAAGGTTGATAAAAACAGCTTGTTCTCTGAGAACACCCTCCAGACATAGGAAGAGTGGCTTGAAATAGGTGAGGTCAACTAAGAGAAAATGATCTGCGATCAGCCATTCACTTCAGATAATCCAAAAAGCAATGGTTAAATAGGTTGGTACAAGGACACGGTCACAGTACATAAGAAAAGCATTAGCACAGAAAAAGGAGTTGTGTAAGAAAGTGGCCAAGGTGAGAGTCACATTAAACAAGTGTTTTTCCCAAGGAAGAGACAGAACAGGAAACAGAGGTTGGAGTATGCCTTATTTAAAGGCCTGGGACACTCCGGCGAGGGTGTGTGTGTGTTGGGAATGGGGTTGTGGGGAGACAGGGTTGAGTGACCCAAAGTAGAAAGTGGCTCTGGATCTCCACAGATGTTGCCTGAAAGTCTTTGAGGGATTTGAGTCATTTTGGGTGGTTGTGTCTTTTTCTCTGAAGAGAATTCCTCAGCCTATCCCTAGATTCTAAACTGAATCTGATTCACTTACAGCTGTCAGTTGACTAGCAACTAAATGGTCTGGGTGTTGGTTGCCGTGGAAACAGCTAAAAGGCCCATTGCTATGGGAACCTACCAGGCTCTCCAAACCAGGGGTTTGGTTCCTAAAAAGGAGTGGAGGGGAGAGTGGAGCCCAGGAGATGGCCTGCATAGGTGGCTCGAGGGTCCTGGAAGAGGGTGGCAATATGGGTGGTGGATCCGGCCAGCTCCTCTCGACTGGGGCAGAAGAACAGTGACCTCTTCTACTTTCTGCAGGTGTTCCCTTGCCTGTTCTCTGCTCGCTGCCCAATGCTAGCCACAGAGCACAGGTGTTTGCAGTTCCAAATGGAGACTAAGAGCCTGAGATTCTGGAGCAGACATGGCATGTCAGTGCGAGTCCCCTCACCTGCAGGGGCTTGGAGAAGGACAGCTCCCTTCTGGCAGGCCCTCCTCCACAAATCATATGTCCCAGATAAGCAGCCAGCAGGCAGAAAGATCAGCTTAACTCTGACTGCCAGTGGGTAAGGCCAAGAAGGAGCCTGGCAGACAAATGGATGGCTGCTGGCCTTGAACATGGCAGAGCCGCTGGGTGTGCCAGATCAAAAAGCAGAGAGCAGGCCAGCAGCAGCAGACTGTTCTCAGTGCTGGAGAAATGCATTGCTCTGCTCACTACACCCTCAACCACCCATATGCCTCTGCCACAAAGGGGGGTACTGCAAATGGATCAACATAGGAAAGATGAGGTTTGATGGAGATTCTCAGTGTACACACACAATGGTTGTAAGATTCTTTTCTGTTTTGCAATCAAAGTAACTCTCACATTAGTGGCAAGATGATTTTTTTACTAAAACAAAGAGAAAGCATCCCAGAAGCTCTTCCATTAACCACTGTTAATGTGTAATGTACAAATTGAAGGGATTGGACTAATCGCTAAAGCCTCTGTCAGGGCTAACAGCTTATGATGCATTGAGACACTGAAAGGAAGTTAAAGAACCACTGGCAAATGGACACAGACTAATCGCTTTCTAGTTACTCATATTGTGAGGGCAGGGAAGGTCTCTGAACTCCAGAGGGTCTTAGGATGGAGACTAAGGCCAAGACTTTTGCTTTAGAGACCATTTCAGATATGTTTGGCCCAGGAGACTTTCACTTGGTTCTCCAGAATTCTGAGATGTGTGATGCTGATTTTGTGCTTTTCTCCTAATCTTGCCCTTTGCCTGCCTGGAATTGTTAGTCTCAGACACTCCCAGGAACCTCAGAGTCTAAGAGCCTGGCACCAGAGAAAGAGAGAGAGAGAGAGAAAGATGCCACCAGAACTTGGACTGCTCCACAGGACAATTGAGCACTTCCCCAGAATCTGTGGGGAGGTTTTCACTTTTGGAAGCAGTAGTTGTTTATAGATTTCTATAACATTTAAAATTTTAAATACAAGCTGGGTTTATATCTCACCTCCAACTTTTTCCAGCTGCTTGACTTTGGATGAGTTCCTTAACCTCTTAGGGCCTTAATTTCCTCAGCTGTAAAATAGCATGATAAGAATATACCCACCTCGGGTGGTTCTAATGATGACATGAGGTGGGGGATGCAAAGTGCTCAGTGCGGTACTTGATGCATAATAAGTACCTGGGAAAGGTCGTTAGTATTATTATTATCATCCTAGATAAAAAAAGGAAGGTTGCAGCCATGGAAACTGCTCAGTGGCCTAGAATCATAGGCATTTGCCATGCATTTGTCTTCCAAATTTAATTCCAGGTGCCTTTCAAGACTGATGGCCTCTCTGATGCCACCCTCTGGTTTGCCTTCATTAAGCCAGATTCTAACCCTCTCTTTTTAAGACACTTAACCACATTCTTTTTCATGTATGATTTTTGTGTGTCCGCTTACCTTCCTACTAGACTGTAAACATCTTGAGAATAGAGACTACCCTTTCATCTTTCAATAAATGCCTAGAACTCAGCAATTGTTTAATGAATTTTTTTTAATAGGGAAGAATGTCTTTTTACTGTAGGTTTTGGATCAGGCCATTTAACCCTATAGCAGCCTTGTCTCCAAAGCGGAGAAAAGAGTAACAGTGGGCTAGGCTTCATTCTCCTGAAGAATGGAACGGCATTGCCCCATCCTGAGTGGGCAGCTCCAGAGCAGGGCCAGGGCTCACATCTTCTAGAAGCCAGCTGTCATCTGTCTCTAGGACTCATTGACACCAGCTTGTCTCCAGCCTGAAGGCTCCCTGGCCCTGGGCTCAGGCGGAAATGGCTCCTCCTCCCCTCCTGGCTGCTGTCTGTCTTCAGTTCAGCCTGCCTCTCCCTCCTGATTGCTCTGGCCGAAGCAAGAAGCCATGAAGATGGCTCTGTAGCTGCAAGTTGCATCAGGTTGCCTCTGGGAGAAAGAGAGAAAGCAGACCTGGCTTATGCAACTCTCTCTCCCCTACACTGAATCTCTGCAGTCCCTGGCCGACCCCCTCAGCTTCCCACCAGAGCGTGCCAAGGTCTGGCTCGGCAGGAACAAGCCCAAAGAGCCACCCAGAGCATCTCCCAGACCGTGGCCTCTGAGAACCATCTCCTTTCAAGGTGGGTAACACAAAGTTCTGGGGTAGGGAGTAAGGCAGGGGAATGTAGGAGAAAAAGCCTCCAGGTCTGATTGACTTGCCATGGGACCATGGATCAACCATTTAACCTCTTTTAGCTAAATACCTCGTAGAGGTGTTATATAGACACAAGGAAACAATGGATGTGCATGTGTAGCTTGGAAATACAAAGGCTATTCATACTGGGAGTATTAACATCATAGGCTAGTGCAAAGGACTAGCAGTTAATCCATTGGATTTTCCTACTTAGATCCCATTGGCTTGATGAGCTGTCTGGACACACCCACAGAAAACCTCACAAGGAAAGCAAGGTCCCTGATTTGGTCACCAGAAGAACAAGGTTGAGACTGACCTAGTGAATGCCTTTCTTTGACTACAAAACAGGCCTGTAATGCAGTTGGCTCTCCTGAAATGTTGGCTGCTAGTTCTGAGGGTATAGGAGGCCTAGGCAGCTGAACACTTGTATCATCCTGATCATCATGAAGTCTAGTGGAATTTATACAGACAGGACAGTATGCATTCCTTCAACCAATACTTACTGAGCACCTATTATGTGCCAGGCACTGTGCTGGGCACTGAGAATAAAAAAATGAGTAAGCCATGGTCCTTGCCTTCAAGGAGCTTAGAGTCTAATGAGAGAAGCTAGCAGCAAACCATCACTGCAATCCAGTGGGACAAAGCCATGATAGTCACATGTACAGAAATGTGCCATGGCAACAAAAAGGGAGAGTACTGAGGTGATTTGCTCTGGAAGAGGCAGAGACAGGTCAGGCTTCTACTTAGGAAGGTGGCTGGAAATGGAGACACATAATCATGTACTAGGTCTTTATTTATCCATCATTCATTCAGCCAACATATCTTCTGAGATTTTTTGGAGAATTTATTTATTTGTTTATTTATTTTTGAGACGGAGTCTCACTCTGTCGCCCAGGCTAGAGTGCAGTGGCATGATCTCAGCTCACTGCAACCTCCGCCTTCCGAGTTCAAGTGATTCTCCTGCCTTAGCCTTACTGGTAGCTAGGATTACAGGCGCCTACCACCATGCCCAGCTAATTTTTGCATTTCAGTAGAGACGGGGTATCACTATATTGGCCAGGCTAGTCTCCAACTCCTGACCTCAAGTGATCCACCCATTTTGGGTTCCCAAAGTGCTGAGATTACAAGCATGAGCCACCACGCCCAGCCTGGAGTATTTTTTATGGTGAATTTACCTCCTCCTGAATTACTGGTCTTGGTTAATTTGGTTTTATTTAAAGTTCCTCCTACTTAATTTACTCTGGAACTGAGTAAGCATACTTGGTGATGTCCTGACCCTAGTGTATAGCCAGCTATCATGTTCTATTTGGATTTTAGAATTCCGCCCCCCTCCTCTGACTCTCCAACCCACGTTACAGCACTTCTTTCTCTGTCTGTACTCTAGCCGCGTCAGTCTCTTTTCAATTCCTCAAATTGACTGTACTTCCTTCCTCCAGCCACAGGACTCTTACACATGCTGCTCCGCTGCCTGAAATGCTGCCCCATAACCCCTTTTCATTTAGTTAACTCCTACTCATCCTCATTTCTCCTGCAATGTCTCTTCCTCCAGGAAGCCTTCCCTGACCACCTCCCCCAGATCAGATCAAACACTTTGCTATACATTTTCATAGCACTCTGTTCTTTCTCTTCATGGCACAATTCAACACTATATACTGGTATAATTATTTGATCAATGTCTGGCTTTCCCAGTCCCTTGAAGGCCTCATTGGGACAGACAACATTTCTATTTTGCTCATCACTGTACTCCCACTGTCCAGCACAGCTATTAGTCCAAGGAGCAGATGACCTATATGTGGTTTGTGAGAGAATTAATTAATGGAATGATTAATTATCTTTTTTGGGTCACCATTTGCCTTGGGCCTAAATGGTTCTGTGTTCAAACTAAAACAATGCCAAATGCAAAAACAAGAACCAGAACCAAACAGGGAGCCCCTCTGAGAAACGTGCAGAAAGAGTCAGG